AAACGTTTCATTAGAGAAGAACCCGTCCAGAAGATCTATACAATTTTTTTTCTTTTTGATTTTTTAACTGGATTACTGAGATACATCAGGACATCTAAATTGTTCATAACCTTTCCACTGAACTCCACTTCAAAAGATCTGAACTGTCTTTAATTAAAGATTTGACCCTTAATTCAACATTATGCAAGTTGATGCCTTGTTGAGTTTTGCAAACCAGAAAGTTTCACKGACATTCTTTAATAAAAGCTCTCATGAAAATTAGGCAACAAATGGAATCCAGAACATGAACTGCTGCTGCCTGGAGAGTGACGCAATGTTCTTCCATCCGGCCGACTCGAGGAGAATCATCCATATTGGACCAACCACAATGAAGTGAGTGCTCCAGTCAACACTGAAATAATTAAAACTGAGAGCCATCAGTTTTCCCAGACATTGTGTTTTACTGTTCTTTTTTTATTAGTGTCCTAAAAATCGTGGGTGAAGTAAATAGCCCCCTGCCATCAAATATCGTTGAAGATTTCTCTCTGGCGACTGTTCGAAACAACACGACTGTAATGTTTGATAGTTTTAACAGATTATATTAAATGGGCGCTTTTTTATACACTGATAATTAAATGTTGATGGTGTCTGCAGCCTTCCTCTGGAGTCACTGTCACATCATCAGGACGCACAGTGAGGAAGAGATTTCATCAGCTGGATGATGACTCGAGTCAAGAGGTACCAACATGCTGACTTTCTTTATTCCTGCAGCTTATGTGAACACACACTTTGATCTAAAACCAGTAGTTCTTAAACCTTTTCTGTCAGGCCTCCCTTTGGAGAAAGACAATTGTTTGTGCTCCCAAACTACAAACGTAAAATGGACACTTTCACAGAGAGAACTTTGTGAATTTCTGGAGAGAAAAAAGCTTAGAGACACACCTTAATTATAATCCTGGGCATTTTTTTTTTGTATTAATAAGGTTTAATATTAAGACCTAAAGTAGCTGAAGGAGTGAGTCAACAGACACTTGGGCTGCATGCTTCTGCTGCAGCTGATCAACCCAGTGGGGCGTGCCCCACAGTCGGAGAGGAGACAACATGGCTTCTTAACTATACTTTGGTTGTGATAACTAATCTCCTGAAATGTCTTGTGAAACCARTTTGAACTTTGACACCAGAGCTTTTAGTTGTACTCAAACAGCTGTTTGATTATGCAGACTTTCCGACTGGTGGAATGTGAGGACGAGCTTGATCTTCTGGCTGCAGTGGTAACTAACGGGGAAGAAGACGAAGCAAGAGCTCACATCCGTTTGCATGATAACCAAACAGGGACGTTACAGAGAAAGATTGATCTGGTTGAACCTTGGGATGAGGTCAGTGACTTTAATATATATGTTTAAAAAAACTGGCTTTATTTTAAGTGGTCGGTGTATTACTGATTGAGTTCTTTTGTTCTGTATTCCAGACTTTTCCGCACGTGTTGTGCTTTGACAAAGATACAATTGTTCATATTGAACAGAGAAAGAACAGCTTCTGCTGTCATGTTTACAAGCTTAGAACCGCCACACAATAACAGGTTCTGAAATGACCGAAAGGTGCTCGAAAACATCATGAAAACCTTTAAGATTCTGGGATTTTCTTTTTCATGTCATATATATTCATCCACTATTGTCCGTTTTTCCAAGGTTCCACAGCTTGAGCACAGAGGCCCAGACATCTCTTTCTACATTGACCTCTTCTGGGAGGATTCCACGGTTCTTCCCAGAGGTCTCCTCCTAAAGATTCAGTCAAAGGGCATCCTGACCAGATGACCAAACYACCTGAACTGGTGATTTTCATGATGTACAAATATTTTAGTATATAATTTGGAACAGTGTATATTTTTTATAAAGAGGACTTCGTGACTTTTTTAAACTTTTGAAATATGTAATTGTCAAACCTCTGTACCCGGTAGATTGTTAAAACTTCTCTATTAAATGGTTGTATTTTCTTAGGTTGTTCCTTCTTTTTATCATGTCAAATAAGATTTTTTTTTCCACATCACGAGTTACTGCAGGGGTTGAATATCTGCTGTTTATATGAAATACAAATAAATTAAAAACTACTTAAATAGCCTGAATAGCTTTCAGAGACTTACTTTTGTAAATGCATCCCACAAATCTCTCAATATTATTCATTTACACAGTTGTACAAATTGTTTTGACTTGATTTGATTTGATTTATTTATTTAACAGGAAAAGATAATTAGAAATCAAGCCTGAYTCAGCATAATTGCTGTTTTACAGCAGGTTCCTGTTCTGCAGCACATAAAACACTCAGAATTACAGCATCACAGTCACATTATTATTATTACACCATAGACACAAAGACAAACAAGCATACCAAATTTCAAAAAGGCAGCATTTGCAAAAT